GCGTAGGCCTAGATTCTACATACGGCCTCATGAAAGTTTGGCAGGAAAGATTATCTTGGGAGCGAGAAGAGCTAGGGTGCTAAAATCGTCAGGGCGGTGTTTTCTGCTTGTGGAGGAGCCTAACATACTCCGACTTAACTCTCAAGTGTGACGGGGTTTCGTGTACGACCACATGAAAGTTTTGGCGCGCTTTCCAAACACCATCAACCATCAGCCGAGTCGGTTATTGCAATTGCCTGTCTGCTGTGTATCTGCCTTTCAGAACAAGATTTACCTTTCTTCTCAGTCTCTCATAGGCATTTTCCATCTTTTTCTCTGCGGCAGCTTCTTGGCTGACTTTTCGTGGGTTTTCTACGGAAAAACAAACTGTATTCAGAAATGCCTTCTTGCACACGAGAATTAGTCTGATCCCTTCCTGTTCTGTTATTTTTTATAAATGATATGTCATTGTCGGAAATCTTAAAAAGATGTGCCGTTGCTTCAACAAAACATTACAGGATGCCCTTTCGAATGAAGCAAAAGCGCCGTTGGCAAAGGAGGATGTTCGTGTATCAGCAAATCCGGTTGAAAGCGTACAGGAGAATAATGAAAATGCGAAGCCGGGAAATAAGCCTGTTGGTTTTTTTTTGTAATTTTGGTTTCGATCGAACTTACTAACCATTTAACTTATGCGGTTGGAATTTTTGAAGCAGCTGAGCTGATAAAATAATCGTTCAGATAAATCATTGTTCTTTTCAGGTAAAAGCACCACCGCCATCTTTTCCAGTTACGCTTTTCTCTCCTACAGAAAGCAAGAGAATGGAATTCCCGGATTCGGCTAAAAAAGAACCGGACACAATCCCTGAACCAAAAAGGGTATCTCCGCCTAAGCCCAAGGTGAAATTTGGGTTCGAGTTTGTATTCAGTAAGATAATTTGTCGCATTTCGAAAATGCTTCAAATTTGGCATAGGTTCTTCTAAACACTGCAGTTCAGGACAATGATGACGATGAAGGTGACGCCGGTGGCGGTAATGCATTTGCTGCGCAATTACGACGGCGTGCATTGAAACGCGAGCAGAATGCGGCTGTTTTTGAACCGAAACAAAACGAGGCCGAAATCCAGTGGAAAAAAGTTTGTGGCAATCTTAGTCCTATTTGCATTTCTTTAAGTCAATTGTGTTGTGAAAATTTTGATAGCAAGAATTAGCATTCTTAATCCTTTGCATATTGGTCAGAACATAACCAAATTTTACAAATCAAAATCGCTTAGCATTTCTCAGTCTGAGAGATGACACCAATCGAGTGGTAGCACACAGCCAACACCACCCACCCACCGGTAATGGCTAAGAATTTAGTAGCTACTAAATCTCGGCTCGGCTAGCCCTCGGCTGCCTCGGCCACACCTCGGCCGCCTTGGTCACACCTCGGCCGCCTCGGCTCGCCTCGGCCGGCCTCTGGCAGCGGCATTATCGTGAAGCATAAAGTGGGGGAGCGGGACGGGGAGGTGAGGGGACAGGCAGGGGAGGGGGGAAAGGCGAACGGGGAGAACGTTGGCAGGGGAACGGGGGGAGGTAAGGGCGGTGGGGACGGATGGGAAAGACGGAAATGGGACGAGCCGGGAAGAGGGGGG